TTCAGCTGGATATTCCTTAAGAGATTTTCAAAGCAGTGGAAATAAAGGAAGTCACCTGATGATGTCTTGCTATAATGATCAAGATATCACACATTCTATCACAAAAAGCCTGCCTTTCCTGTATAGTACTCTGTAAATATTTTGGGACAGATTGATCAGTCTGTTCTGGTTCCTCTGCATTACGAGGAAAAGGGCAAAAACACCAGAGAGCACTGCTGAATCAGGCCTTTTACATACACAATACTCCCCACTTGTGCAAAGAGAGACCTCCCTGGTCAGCCTTTTCCCCTCCAGAATCATTCTCTTGTGTCTGTACCTTGTACCTGTGTCACTGCCACTCTTCACTGCTCCGTCATCCGTGAAATTAAAGGTGCCGGTCCAATTTGCCAATTCCTCTCCATTCGCCCAGCTAAACTGCAGCCCTCTAATAAGAAAATGAGGCAGTTGATATTTCATGTCATTCATTTGGTTAACTCTTTCAAGAATGTGTTCTGTTGCCCCTTTCTTAACACCGTGAATACGATACCCATAAGGAAAAGAAACACCGAAAACCACAACTCATCGTCATCTAATTGCAGGTGGTTACAGCTTTAACTTTCACTTTGCTTAACCTTCTCTGGGACACTTTTTTCTAATACTAATATATCCATCCCCCCTCCACCCCTTGAATTAAAAGAAATCTTTTCAAGATAAGCATCTATCCTGCCCATAGAGATATGGGTGCCTGAAACAAGTGGGTAAGTCACTTGCACAGATAGGAAGGTGCACGAGAAAACAAGGGATTGCATATGCAAACAGCTAGACACCAGGCACTGAAATCTGGCCTGGTAGGGCATCTGTACCCACAGGGCCACATATTAAAAACAGTGCAATTTTACAGCCAGAATCAATTGTTAAAAATGACAGAACCTAAATACATTCTCTGGTTTGGGGGCCACACTAGGAAACAGCGTGAGATCCACTTCCTGCCATTATTCATGATCTCTGATTACTTGCCCAAATCATTTGATACTGGTTTTGCTCCCTGACTGGAGAACTGAAACATTTCAACAAATGCATCCACTTTTGTGGTTACTTGTTTCTTAGAAAGGCATAGAAAGAGAACTCCCACTGATGGTTTAAAAATATGTTTTTTAAAGCCCAGTGTGTGATTAGGGGAGGGGACAGGGAGAGGCTCCTAATGTTTAATACTTGACGTTGGCAATGCTCTTTTCTCAGTAAAAAATAGTTACTAGTTTGGGTTGGTTGGAAGGAGAAGGGTTTAGACTATCTAGGGGTACACAACTGTCAGCTGATCAATCAAAAAATAAAGGGAACCCAAAGCAGCCGGGTAGGGTTTCGTCGCCTTTATGGCAAGATTGGTTACAGTTACCAGTTCATCTCCTTTCATTGGTCTGAGTAAGAACTATTATCTCAGTACGCAGTGAAGTAGAGAAGCCCATTAGGGCATGTTAAATTGAGGGCTTTCTTCTTCCCCAGAGCCGAGAAAGAGGACAACTTGACATGCTTCTCTGCCAGATGGTAGTAGTTTGCTTGTTCCAAACTGAAGAAAGCAGCAGGCACATTCTCTGCTCCCTTGATTGTCATTGTTGTTTTAAAGTACTAATGAATCCCAATTGGATAACTGGCACTGATTTCTACTGAATTAACCTGGGTGCTGTGGTCGCAGTCATTCACGGAATGATGAATAGCACACGGTGAACAGCCAGCCCTGTCGTCTGGCCATAAACACCCTTGTGCACAACCTGATGCAGGCGTTGAGACAAACAGCCAGCCCCCAAACATGCGTGTGCATAAAATCCCACTGGTGCAAACAGCGAACAAGGAGATCATCTCAAACAGCCAGAAGGAAACGTTCCCAGGGCTGGCCTTGCAGTACCTGGCTGGCTCTTACTGCTGACTCTCTTTATTTGCCTACTAGCAGGTGCTACAGAGAGTGCCAGCTACTAGTACACATGTAAGTAGCATGGTACGTTCATACCTTACTAATGAGTCTCCTATAGAGTCCAATTGCATTGTCACTGACAACCTATTTTCTATGTGCTCTAGGCTACTGGAAACCATGCGAATACAGCAGCATTCGCTCGATGGCAAATGCAGACCCTCGCAGCTGAACAGGAGACATCAACTACTGACCCAACACCCTAACGTTACAACCAAGAAGAAATTTTCAAAGGAAAAGATTTAACAAAATCTGATGTCTTCCCCCCTAAAACATAATGTTTTGCAAACATTTGGCAACACTGTTCATCCACATGTTGCACCTTTTCAATGAACTAATTTTACTTATTGCTGAAGATCTTAGATATGTAGAAGATGTTAGAAGAATGTTTCTAACATTACAGGAGCTGTCAGAAGTTTTTAAAAGATGTAGAATAAAACAGGTCCATCTGGAACCCCTCTGAATTGAAAATGGGAGCAGATCTCTGAGAAAGTCTTTTTTCTCTGTCTTCCCCTGCAGTTTTATGTTCAGGGAATTTTTCAATACTCAGATTTTGGGGGCTGTTTTACAAACTTTATCATCCAAAAATGTCAGCATTTCATACCTAAAAGCCACATTGTTGCTCAGAGTAGACCCACTTTGAGTTCTGAACAAGCTGATTTTCACTAAAAAAGGATCCATTATCAAGCAAAGAAATGAGTTAATACTTAGGGCCAGACCCCAAAATAATTTAAGTGAAATTTAACCTCCTAAATCCAAGTTTGTGAT